AAGTCGAGAACATAGATAGCCTGTTGTTAGCTGCTATATATCGAGACGAGCATATAGATAGTCTGTTGTTAGATGCTATTTATCGAGACGAGCACATTGATAGTATGTTATGAGTTGCTATGTATCGAGGCAAGATCACAGATAGTCTGTTGTTAGTTGCTATGTATCGATACAAGAACATAGATAGTCTGTTGTTAGTTGCTATGTATCGATACGAGAACATAGATAGTCAGTTGTTAGCTGCTATATATCGAGTCGAGAACATAGATAGCCTGTTGTTAGCTGCTATATATCGAGACGAGAATATAGATAGTCTGTTGTTAGATGTTATTTATCGAGACGAGAACATTGATAGTATGTTATTAGTTGCTATGTATCGAGGCAAGATCACAGATAGTCTGTTGTTAGTTGCTATGTATCGATACAAGAACATAGATAGTCTGTTGTTAGTTGCTATGTATCGATACGAGAACATAGATAGTCAGTTGTTAGCTGCTATATATCGAGTCGAGAACATCGATAGCCTGTTGTTAGCTGCTATGTGTCGAGACGAGAACATAGATAGTCTGTTGTTAGATGCTATGTGTCGAGACGAGAACATAGATAGTCTGTTGTTACATGCTATGTATCAAGTCGAGAACATAGATAGTCTGTTGTTAGTTGCTATATATCAAGTCGAGAAGATAGATAGTATGTTGTTAGCTGCTATGTATCGATACGAGAACATAGATAGTCTGTTGTTAGCTGTTATGTATCAAGTCGAGAACATAGATAGTCTGTTGTTAGCTGCTTTGTGTCGAGACGAGAACATAGATAGTCTGTTGTTAGCTGCTATGTGTCGAGTCGAGAACATTGATAGTATGTTGTTAGTTGCTATGTATCAAGTCGAGAACATAGATAGTCTGTTGTTAGTTGCTATATTTATCGAGAACAGAACATAGATAGTATGTTGTTAGTTGCTATGTATCGATACGAGAACATAGATAGTCTGTTATTAGTTGCTATTTATCGAGACGAGAACATAGATAATAATAATAATAAAGTTTATTCAAGTAGTATACGACTTTCGTCATGGTACAAACGTTAACAAAAATAGATTTGAATTTTCTAATAAAGAAAATGCATATAATAAAATAAATTTCAAATATAGACTAGAGCCACTCGTGGCACAGAGTGGGACTTTGCAAATGTAGCAAATTGCAAAAGACCCCGAAAAAATCAACCTTCCACGATAATTAGATCATGTGCAAGAACAGTCTAAAGTTGAGAAATTTTCATTTTTTAGAAGATTCTAATACCGGAAGTAGACGTCAGACCTCACAAATGAAAGTATCAGCAGATAGCCAAGGTCAATGACCTTTGATCTTGTAAAGGAGAAGGTCTAAAAAGGTCAAGATCAAGAGATATACGTCATCAAAATTTCTAATTGCACACGACTATAAAACCGGAAGTTGACATAGGACAGCAAATATAAAAGTATAAATAGATAGCCAATGCCAATGACGTTTGATCCTACAAAGGTCAAGGTCAACAAAGGTCAAGGTCAAAACTTGAAAATATTGAATTTCCAAAACCTGTTCCTTTTTTTGAACTATGAAGCGGAAACAACCGAACTTCTAATACAAAGTGGCTCAAAACATGAGGTAATTGTATGCAAAGTTCCATTTTGAACAAACGTGTACTTTGCGAGTTATGCCCTTGGCCAAAAATGTCAATAATGAGTAATTTAACCCGGATGTGCCACGCCCACCTCATTTATTTGATATAATTTAATTAATATTCAAAATGTTATGTCGTGTATCAAATGCCAAGGTTATACATAATACAGGTCAAAAGATATAGGTCAACAAAAGTCAACAAAGGTCAAAATCGAAAATTGAAAATATCCAAATGTTAAAACCCGTTCCTTTTTTGGAACTATAAAGCTGAAACAACTAAGCTGTTAACACAAACTGGCCAAAAGGATGATGTAATTGTGTGCAAAGTTCCTTTTTGAACAAATGTATTCTATGCAAGTTATGCCCCTTCCCAAAAATGTAAACATTTAGTAATTCAACCCGGATGTGCCACGCCCACATCAATTTATTTGTCATAGTTGAATTCATATTCAAAGTGTCTAGATGTATTTCAAATTTCAAGGTTCTACATCAAATAGGTCATAAGATATACATACACCAAGTTCAAAGAGACACAAATATTGTAAAAAAAAACCTCAAATTTGAAAAAAA